ATGAAATTTATATGATTTTAAAATGAAATTTTTGTTTGGAAATTTACGGTGTTACAGTGTAATGAAATCAATAAAGAAGCATAAAAACTTACATATGTTGAATTTTCTACAAAGTTTGTTTGGAAACGTAAAGGTCTGATTTGGAAACCAATGGAAGTTGGATATGTGATTGATAGAATTCACTCAGTTTCATCTAAACTTGGAGAAGCATATTTCTTAAGAATTCTTTCAAATAAAGTGAAAGGTCCTAAATCATTCGAAGAAATTCACACAGTCAATGGTGAACTATGTTCATTTAAAGATGTGTGTTAATGTGTTATAATCTTGTCCTTTTAGATGATGACAAAGAATTTATCGATGCAATTAAGAAGCAAGTCTTTTTGGATTTAGTTTTTATCTACGGTTCTTATTTGCTACAATGTTATTGTCCAACAGTTTGTGTAAACCAGAGATTGTTTGGCAAAACACCTGGGAATACCTGTAAGATGTAGTTCTTTACAATCAACAACAAAGATTAAAGTCTCCAGGTAATCTAAATTTATCTCATTATTATTAAAAGAGTATCATATAAAATTTCAGTATAAATTCAATTATATTTTATGTCCCAATCAATTTGTTTTTTTATACGTTCTAATTACTATGCTATTTTACGTATAGGTTTATCGCTAAACGAAGATCAACTTAAAAACTTAACTTTGTTTGAGATAGAACAAATTTTACTCTGTAACAATTCCAGTCTTAAAAATTATGGAAAGATGTCTTACCCAGATGCTGATTCTGTTTCATCTTCAAACAATCATCTTATTGCTGAGGAGCTAGATTATGACATACCAAATTTAAAGAACGAGTTTGATCGGTTGTTTGTTGCATTAACAAACAAGCAACGGGACATTTTTCTTGATATCATGAATGCAGTTAAACATAATAAGGGAAGTGTTTGTTTATGCTTATGGTGGAACAGGTAAGACATTTCTTTGGAAGACAATTTCTGCAACAATTAGAGCTCAATGTCAGATTGTTTTAAATGTTGCTTCAAATAGGATAGCGTCATTATTATTGACTGGAGGCAGGACAACACACTCTTGGTTTATAATTCCCATAAATCTTACTAGGGATTCTTTTTGTAGAATAAATCCAAAAAGTGATCTTGCCAGTTTAGTAAGAAAAACATCATTGATCATTTAGGATGAAGCACCCATGGTACACAGACATGTATTCGAAGCTTTAGATCGAACTCTAAAGGATATATTGAAGTGTGTCAATCCTACAAATTCAAATATTCCATTTGGAAGGAAAGTGATTGTTTTTGGAGGTGATTTCGGACAAATTCTACCTGTTGTTCCAGCTGATAGTAGACAAAATATTATTAATGCTTCTTTAAGTTCTTCTTATTTGTGGAAACAATGCAAAATTCATAAATTAACAAAAACCATGAGGTTAACTGTTAGAAGTGATCCATCTGCTATTGAAAAAAAATAAGGGATTTTGCAACTTGGCTTTTGGACATAGGAGAAGGTGATCTTGGTGGTCCGAATGACGGTGAAGCGATTGTTGATATTCCATAAGATATTGCTATTACTAATCCACATGATCCTATAGGTTCATTAATCAATTTTGTATATCCTTCTATACTGGAAAACTTCAACATTGTTGATTATTTTCAAGAAAGAGCAATACTTGCTCCCAATAATGAAGTTGTCCAAGAAATAAATGATCGTTTGATGTCATTGTTTCCAGGAGAACAAAAAAAAACTTAAGTTCAGATAGCGTATGCCGATCCGAGTTTGTTCATGGTGATTTTAATGTAAATTTATACTCACCTGATGTTTTAAATGGTCTTAAAGTCTCAAGTCTGCCAAACCATAAGCTCATTCGGTTTTCTGGTTATGTTATTGAGAAACATTGATCACATTGGCTTATGTAATGGGACTAGACTATAGGTTAAATCTTTGGGCAAACGTGTTATTGGGGCAGTTATCTTATCTGGAAATAATATTGGAAACCAGAATTTTATTCCAAGAACGTCTTTAACTCCCTCTGAAGACAAGATCCCGTTCAAATTCCAAGGAAAACAATTTCCATTGGTTGTGTGTTTTGTAATGACAATTAATAAGAGCTAACGACAGTCTTTATCAAAGGTTGGCTTGTTTATCAAGGATCGTGTTATTACACATGGTCAATTGTATGCTGTTTTATTCAGAGTTCAAAGTAGACAATGATTAAAAGTGTTGATTTTAGATAAGAATGGTAGACTAACAAATAAAACATCTAATGTTGTGTATTAAGAAGTTTCTAGAAATTTGTAAAAAACTTTGTACAATTTTATTATTTATATAAATTCGGTATTTTTTTCGTTAAATTTTTATTTCATTTCATAAAATCATAATTTTTTTTGCATATCTACAAATACAAAATGTCAATTGTATATTCAAACCACTACCGGTTCATAATTTCAACCAATAGTTATGTCATTATCATATTACTGCAAAACATATACACTTTAATTAGTAAAAATGTTATTATCAATTATTTATTTTAAATAAATAAGTTACAATTTAATTAAAAAATAATAATTTCTAATCCGTGATAACCTAGTTTCCGAATCAATCAACCAACAAAAACATAGGTTTCTAAGAGCCAAATCATAAAATCAGAAGTATCAACATATAATCATCCCAAAATCAGAGTATCAAATTATGCGGAAATCATGAAACTATTGAGGTGAGTGTACACTAAAGGCTTCGCCTTCTTGCGATCATCTTAAGAACCTGAAACACATTTAAACCACAACTGTAAACATGAAACTTAGTGAGTTTTCCTAAAATAACACATACAACATGTATACCACAAAACATAACTGTAACGGGTCTGTAACAACCTTGTGTCCATATCAACCTTGAGTCCGTATTAACTCTATCGAGTCCATATCAACCCCAGGTCTATATCAACCCCAAGTCCATATTGACTCCGAGTTTGTATCAACTCCATCGGGTCCATATCAACCTACATACACATAACATACAAGCATACAACAAAATTCACAAAGAAAACAAGCACAAAACGACACCCAATGTCCTATAGTATAGTGAGCAGACTCACCTCACATATATCGACTAAGTACAACAGCTCTAACACAATGCAGACCAGTACTACGAAACACCTACTCAACAATAAGGAAGTATTCCCTCAGTCTATACCCTAAAACCCTTAAGCTGACCAAAAGTCAACTATGGTCAAAAGTCAACAGACAAAGTCCACCTCAACATGTCTCCGCGTCGTGACCACTTATAGGTCACATCGTGGGCACTCCATGACAAAACAATCGGGTCATACCTCAGTCGCCATATTGTGGGGACCTAAGTGTCACGTCATGGGAACTAGGTTCCCACAACTTAACAGATTCAACTCTTAATTTGTTAAGCCACTCATTCTAACTTTCCAGAAGCCTTCTTAAATCCTAATACATCACAAATATCAATGTTGTTCAGTCATGTATGTTCAATGCAAGTCTAAAGCTCAACTTATGTAAAAATGGGAAGAAAAGCACCAAAATCTCATGCATGGAGTCCAATCCACCATCAAACTTTATATCTGAGACTTATGTTCGTCAAAGGACCTCAATGATCCATAAAGTTGCTAACTTTATGGATTCCATGCATTTAACTCAACCCAAGCATGGAGAAAATTGGGTAAAACATAGATCTAGCATGCTTAAATGAGAAAGAAAAGAACTTGAGGAAGTACAAAGGTCCAGAAACAACACAAGGTGATGAGGAGGAGACTTTCTTGCTGAAACAATGCACCAAAGGAGCCTTCTTCTTCAAAAAGGAGCTAAAAACCACTAAAAGAGCTCTCAAAATAAAACAATGGATGGTATATTTGATTAGGGCAAGAATGGAGGTGATGGAGGCTAAGAGTGTGCAAACCCTAATCCCTCACTTCCGTTAAATAGGGTGTAAATCGTGGAAAAATTAGGGTTAACCATCAAACGACCGCCACGTCGTGACAACCTACTCGTCACGTCGTGGCCCACAAGAAATGATGCACTTTTCTGCCTTGATGATCACGTCATGAGGTCTACTTCCTCCTGTCGTGATCGCCTCAAAACCAAAGATTTTACATTTTTTTGTAGATCAAAAGCATAAATAATTCATTTAGTATGTGGTGCATTTATTTTAGTTTTCATACTATATTGTGTGTATTGTTGTCATGGTACTTATATATTTAGAGTCATTTCATATCATGTGGGGTATATGTTGAATATGAATGAAGTGTGATGATAACCAATAATCATTCTAGATGATTTAATGTACACTAGTAGTCTATCTACTAATACCCTATTGAGGGTGTTGTTGCATTCATTTGGTTTTTGTAATTTTTTTCAAAGCTAAAGGTGGTTTATGTAATTATTTGTGAAATAAAAATAAGGGTTTAGGTCATTTTTGGTCACTTAACTTTTGGTTTTATGCTCATTTGGTCACTTAACTCTTTTTAAGTTTTAAAAGGTCATCAAACTTTTGGCTTTGTGCTCATTTAGTCACTTAACTTTTCTTTTGGTCACATTTAGTCACGAAACTTTTAAAACTGTGTTCATTTAGTCACTCAACTTTTAAATTTTTTTAAAAGTTTAATGACTAAATGAGCACAATTTTAAAAGTTAGGTGACTAAATGAGCATAAATCTAAAAGTTGGGTGATTAAATGTGACCAAATCAAAAGTTAAGTGACTAAATGAGTATAAAATCAAAAGTTTGATGACCTTTTAAAACTTAAAAATAGTTAAGTGACCAAATGAAGAAAAACCCAAAAGTTAAGTAACCAAAAATGACCTAAACCCTAAAAATAACTTTTATAACGTACTTATTTTTTTTTATGAACATGATCTTTGTCGTTACCAAAACTTTTTTTAATAAACTCATATAATACATGGGTCTCAGACCTATTTTCGGAATAAATCATCCAACAAAAACACAAGTGAAATTGATTACGTAGAGATGACCAATCAAGTTTAATCCAACCCGTTGCTTATAGAGGGGTAAATTAGTAAATTGGATGGGTTGTTCCAACCCGGAAGAAGCCCTGAAAAAGCGTCTGGGTGCAAATCGTTTTGTCAATCGGAAGGAAATCGGTAGATGGAGAGAGGAGAGAGAACAATGAAAGTATATGCGATTTTGGGGCTTCTTCTCTTTTCTGCTTTCGTCGGCGATGTATCGGCTCTTTCAGTCACCGTGAACGACGTCGAATGTGTATACGAGTATGTACTTTACGAAGGCGATACCGTTTCAGGCAACTTTGTTGTTGTCGATCATGATATATTCTGGAGCTCCGATCACCCCGGCATCGACTTTATCGTGAGTATCTGGATCTTTATACTTCAGATCACCATGTTTTTTCCCCTTCTATTGGATTTCTCAAAATTGGATCCTAGTTGACCTAAATCAGAAATTTCGATAAAGGATTTTGCTGTTCTATTCGAAAATTATAGATTGGAGTTAAATTTTAGGGGTTTTGTTTTATCGACCTTTGATGTTTCATTGATCTGCTCCGGTACGTGAATTTTAATTGGAATGAAATTCCATGGGTTATTTCGGCTAGAACTTCTGAATTCAATCGAATTTCATCGAACACTTATTCATTTTATCTCCTTTGTTTATGTGATTTGTGATTACGCAATCCAGTTGACAAGTTTCTTTCTTTTCTTTTCTTTTTGTTGTATGGATCTCATATAATTTGTTCTCAATTTCAATACATGTTAGGCCTTTTGATTTTTGAAGTTACACTAAAAACAATTGGCTAACAGACTTTTTGGATTATAAACAAGGATTATATTGATCTTTAACATCCCTTCCATGACACTCTCCCTTGTCGATTGGCTTCCATGAAAACTATTTAGGTCATCATCAAGCGTGTTTCAACAGCAATATAAATATAAAATTGTAGGGAAGAAGAAGAGCTGAAATTAATTCATTTGGGTTTGTTTCAGGTGTCATCTCCCGGAGGAAATGTAGTACAAACCATGAAAGGAACATCTGGAGAAAAATTTGAGTTCAAAGCTCCAAGAAGTGGAATGTATCAATTCTGTTTCCATAATCCTTACTCAACTCCAGAAACTGTCTCTTTCTACATACATGTTGGTCATATTCCCAATGAGCATGACCTAGCAAAAGATGGTTTGTTGAACTCCCTCTTATTTCTTGCAACCATTATCTTTTAAAGCTCAAATTTTTATATTGTTTTTGTATGTTTTGTAGAGCATTTGGACCCTGTGAATGTGAAAATTGCTGAATTGAGGGAGGCATTGGAATCTGTTACAGCTGAACAAAAATACTTGAAAGCTCGTGATGCTCGACATCGCCATAGTAAAGCTCTCATTCTATTCAATCATATTTATTATATGCCAAACACAGTATAATTTGTTCTGTCATGTCATGTCATGTGATGTATGATGTATAACTGGTTGTTGTGTAGCAAATGAGAGCACGCATAAAAGGGTGATCTTTTACACAATTGGAGAATACATTTTGTTGGCACTTGCAAGTGGACTCCAAGTGGTTTACATACGTCGCCTGTTTAGCAAGTCGGTTGCATACAACCGGGTTTGAGCTTTGAATCAATCAATTGTATCTTATCTTTCTTCTTATATTTATTGTTATAGATTAGAACTCGGGAACATTTATGTTATCTATCGTGTTTAGAGCTTTTCGATGTTTTACCTTTTTACTTACCTTCAATTAAATTAATGCAATCTTGCAATTTTCAACTTGATGTTTTCTTTGCTTTCATATGGTTGGTTTATTCTTCAAGGCTGTGGGGGATTTTGGTGGAGATTTGGAGTTCGGGTTTCCTTTTTTCTCAGTAACTTGTATTATTGTGTATATGGTTAAAGTGGTTAATGGGTAATGACGTGTGTTTGGACAAAGAGTTGTAAACATAAAGTTGATTTTTTTAGTTCCAAAAAATAGGCTTGAATGAGATTAAATGCACTCTACGTTTCAACAAACAATTTTAACAGTTTTTGTCGATAATTAACAATATAAATCAGTTTTAATGTGAATAGAAGGGTCGGTGGTTTAATACATTGAGGGTGTGTTTGAGATTGCTTATTTAAGATGTTTCTCTGCTTAGTGCTTTTTGGCATCACTAATAAGTTCTTATAATGTGAAGAGAAGATTTGGTGGTTCGAAAATATTGTTAAGGATAGGGAAAATGTGATTATAGCACAATCAAATATTGTCATTTATCCGATTTGATCATTAAAGTAACTTTTTTGCACAATAGGTCATTAAACTCATAATTTATCTGTGGATTAAGTCATATTCGTTAGTTTTTAACAAATCCTCCATTAGCCTGTTATTCTAAATTACACGAATGGTCCCTATGACTTTTTTTTGTGCAATAAGTCAGCTTCGTCCGTCTCTCCTCTCCGTCACCTTTGGAATCACATTTGACAGAAAAATTGCCCCTTCCAATTTGACCTGCCGCACTAGAGATCAAATCCCACAACCCAAAAATAGAAATCGACACTGATAACAAACTAACAAAGTAACAACAATGAAAATAAAATCTTTAAAACTTTACTCGAATTGAAGACCTTAACTTTGGTGATTCATTTAAACAAACACATGTAACCTCAAGAGCCCATAACATCTTATCTTGATCTTTATTAAAATAAACCAATCAATCACTTCACTCTCCTTTTTTTCCATTCCATAGCCATACCAACAATTTTTCCTATATTTTTCTTTGATTTTTAATCGATGTTACAGGAATTGTTCTGGTTTCACAAAGGTAAAATGTACGTCCATCACCGCATAAACCAAGATTTCCCTCGAAGCTTAAGCTTGTAAATGTTAAAAATTGACATCCATTAGGGAGTAAACCCCTCAGATGATTATTGTGAGCAACACTGAATTTGGATAAAAAAAACTTAGATTCACCAAAGATGGAGGGATTATTCCGGTGAGATTATTGTATGGCAAATCAAGCGTCTCCACCTTTTCATTCCTGATAAAGAACTAGGAATCCTACGTCGTGATAAATTGTTGAGATTCAAATCCAAAATGTGTAGTTTTTCCAAGTTGCCAAATTTTGGCGGGATTTCACTAGAGAAGAGATTGATGTTGGTGGAAAGCTCATGATCGGATTGTATTGCACCGTTGATCGTCTAACACACATGTTTCTTCTTTTGAAGAATGGGAAATCTGGTTAGGATTCTTCTTATGAGATACCTTGTGAAATAAAACTTTGTAAGTGTGTAAGAGATTTAGGAATCTATCCAGAAAAAGAATTGTTTGATAAATACAAGTCAAAAAGAGACTTAATATCACCCAGATAAGTTAGGGATTGAACTGGTCAAGTGATTCAATGACAAATCCAGTAGAGAGTTATTGTGCCACTGGCGTAAAAGATGAGGTGGCGACATTAGTGGCAAACGGTGGAGAGTAGAGACGAACTAACTTATTGTGCAAAAAAAAAATAGTAATAATAAGTCATAAGACCATTCGTGTAATTTAGAATAACCGGTTAACGGATGATCTGTTAAAAACTAACGAAAGTGACTTGATAGATAGGTAAATTGTAAGTTTAATGACCTATTGTGCAAAAAAAATACTTTAGTGACCAAATCGGATAAATGACAATAATTGATTGTGCTACACTGACATTTTTCCCATAATATTTTGATAATAACATTTTGAATCATATAACTTTTAATCTTAATATTTTAGATCATATAAATTTTTTTGAATCATAACAAATTAAAGATCAAAAAATAAATAAATAAATAAAGTATGTTTTCTCCGTAGAAACTTACTAATGGAGTTTGCAGAATGTAATCAAGTCCACAAAGAGAGTGCTGCAGACTCGTTGATACGATAGTAATGCAGATTCATTGAATTTTACCAAAATACCCTAATATGTGATTTGCAGAAAGCCCTCTACGGATTATTACATGGTTATTTTTGAAAAAACTTGTTTTTTTGGTTATTTTTTTAAACTAATGGTTATAAAATAATTATGCAAAACAAACATTGATGTTGACGAGTGATTACAAAATTAATCCTAAGAAAAATGAAAGAAATTTTGTATTAAACCAATGAAGATAGAGTAATTAGCTTCAACACTAGGGACGTTAAGCATGTTTTAAAAATATCAATTCATCTTAAATCGTTTGTTAGAACATGGCTTAGATTGATCGACCAAAACAATACCTTATGCCTTATAGGACCTTGAACCTCAGTTAGCAACCTAATTAAGTAACAAACTCAAGTCGACTTCAATATTTCATAACATTAATTAATCGATCAATCAAAAGTTAGTTATGTATAAGCTGGTTGTCACTTGTCAACGCATAGACATATAACCAAGAGTAAATGAGAGTTAGTTGTTTCTTTACCAGAATAAACCACCCTCTGAATCATAATGAGACTACCTATGATCATTTTGCTTTTGCATTTTAAAAACAAATTTCACAACATTCATCAGTTGTCCAAATAGGTAAAGGGTTTGTGTCTTGATACATTAAAGCCATTATTAGGTCATGCTGTCCATCTTAAGTAAAAAAGAAACAACCATGTAATGTATAGATAGTTGTCCAAGTTAAATGTTTAACCACACCAAGCCAAGGAGTATACAAGAGAAATAAAAATATATTTTTAAGTATACAATACAACCAAGTAAATAGTATACAAGAGAGTAAATATGAATATTACTACTCTTCATCGCTATCATTTCCAAAAACTGATGCAATAGGTGTTTTCGGCTTCTTTGCTGCACTCATGCCTGAACTCTACATTAAACACCAACATACTTTACTCCTTTTCACAATATAGCCAATAAGTAAGTTTTTCATAAATAAAAAACAAACTACTTTGAGAAACTTAGACATGAAAATTCTTTTCAAAAAAAAATTGTTAATACCTTTGATGCACCAAGTTTTGATGAAAATCCAAACTTCAAAACCTTCCTCTGATCCTGATCAGCAAGAACAGTAGCAGCATTCTTCACTGCTAAATTACTTTTTCCAGACTCCTCTTGCTGTTGTTGTTGTTGCTTATGCGCATCAGCCCTAAATCAAAAAAAGTAAAATATATTTAATCATCTGTGATCTGACATAACATAACAGACTGTGTTTGACATGCATTGGACTGAGACTGAGAGAGTTATCAATGGGATAACGGTCCAATTTTTTGTCCTACCAACAAAAAAGTAGGGAAGAAGAAACTTGGTTTAGCCTCTGTGCAAAAGACATAAATACCCTTCTTGTCCTTATCATAAAAAGCTTACATTTGAGCAAACTTAGCCATCTCTTTTTCCTGGCGCAACTGTTCACGCTTTTGCCTATCATCACGGCTGCTGCTTCCGTGCATTTCTCTCATTTCTTTAAACCGCTGTAAACCGCAAAAGACGTAAATACCCTCCACCTCAAAAAAAAAAAATCCCAATTGTAATTTACTTATATACCTTTCGATGATTGTGATCATATGAGCTAAGATGACCTTCAAATTCAACTGCTAACTTGTACTGCTTATTGCAAAGCTCACAATAGAAAGTCTTGCGGATTTCATTGACTTCAGTTTGAATTTTGTGCTCTCGATCTGCCATAACCTGGATTTTCATAATGTGCAGGAGAGGGGGCAGAAGAAGCCACCAGATAGAGATACTAATAAAAAACAGACATACGCTGTCTTCTGCTATATATATATTATATTATATATTCTATATTATATATAAGATAAGATTTTTTCTTAATGTATTTATATATGTTTTTCTTTTTTAAGAGTGAAAAGGGATACCTCTCGTTTCTTTGCAGTTTCCTCGGTTTCTTCAACTTCAATGTCGAGTTTCTTTCGTTGGATGTTTTCTTCTGAGGTGAAGAAATCGTCTTGTTCTTGTTTTCCGACTCCGAGTTTTGAATCTCTGATTCCGGATTTGATGGGTTCGGTGATTCCTACGGAATCATCATGGAAAGAATTAGGGCTTGTTTGTTTGTTAAGATGCAGAAAAGGTAAATTTAAGTTGGTGAGACTGAGGCATTAAAAAAAATAGATTAAAAATCAACACACTAGGCATAACATGAAGTAAAGATGGAAATGGAACAAATGCACTGTTCTGATTATATTTTCTTACGTTTAAATGAAATATGTCAATTAACTTTGTCTGTATTATGAATTCAATTATTCAATAATGTTATCTGCATACCTTGTTCATCCTTCCCAAGACCTTTCCCTTTCCACCCCATCTTTTGAAGAAGCCGGAAACCAACATTAGAGGATGTTAATTGTGTGTCTAATGAAGCTTGTTCAACATTATCAAGATCTACGTTTTCTGTTGGTCTGTGATGAATTGGTAGGCGAAATTCCTCTGCAAATTCCTCAAGAACAGATGCCTCATCTTCCTGTAGAGTTTACAAAACACGAACCAAATCAACACACTAATGATTCTACAGCGTCACTTGTATGCAAATAGATAGCATAAATCAACTTAACCATGATTAAACTTCAGTCAAATAACACAACAAAAACTTGCACAAGCATATGACCTCATCTGCTTTCTGTTGTCTTCTACGTATGTCTTGTCTGCCGTTGTACCTTCTGTTCTCCATTTCAATGACTTCAAACTGCAACCAAGTAAGAAACAAAAGTATCAGAAAAGGTCTGAAGCAACCAAACCATCCGGAATTTTACTAAACAGAAACAGGAATTTGAAATTTTCGTAACACCATATAAAAGAATTGGAAAGTATGGAAATGATCATCCGATGAAATCACCAGAAATTATCCGTTTAAATGACTTCCGGGAGCAATCGGTGATATAATACCCTAAATCTTAGATCACTTAGCTTAAATTAGTAAACAACTACAACGATAAATTTAGGGTTTTCTTTCCAATTAGAATAGGATGAAAAATCAAAGAGTCTTTACCTGATTGGAGAAACCACGGAGACTTTAGCTTACAATTCGCTTG